ATTAGCAGGAATGTAGCCCATTTTGAAAGAGAAAGCAAGTTAAGTTGAAGATGGATTAACAGTTTTCTGTACAATATTAATTTCATTTCTGGAGATGCACTGTGAAAAAGGATCCTGTTTGATGCAAATATTGTATCTTTAGCAGGACTAGCACAACATGGAAGTAAATGCAGTGCTATCTTTATGTAAATGTGAATGCGCAATCAATATATTCTGTCCTTAAAATCTATGACTTGGCCTCAGATCTTTAATTTAACTTTTACTTGTAGATTCCGTAGAGGCAATAGTCAAAATATAACAATAAAACTGATTTACCATCTTTGTTTTTTTAACCTAAAAAGTTATTTTCCCCCCCAGCCACGACCATAACAAATACCGACCATAATGCTTTAACATTTACAAATAGTTTTCCATCAACAGTGGCTTCTGGTTTGGCGCTGGAGTCTGTGGTTCCTAACATCTGGTGAAAATACACGGGGCCACAAAGTGCAGTAGTTGGTGACAAAGAGGCTGGTAATCCCGTAGAGACCCCGCAAACTGAAGGGCCCCCGACCACAGGAGACACTAACAAATCTTTACTAATGGGAACGCAGGCCACACCTTCATTCCTCCCAAATTAGAAAGGATAGGCAATGCTAGCAATGTGGCTGTGTGTGTGTGTATGTGTATGTGTATGTGTATGTGTGTGTGTGTGTGTGTATGTGTGAGTGTGAGAGAGAGTAGTACGAGTGGAAAATGAGTGGTTTCACAACTGCGTAAAAACTCACAATACTACCAGTGAATGCTTGAACAACATTGTAAACATGAAACATGAAAGGAACATGCATACACACACTTGCGCACACACACACACTTATTTTTCTCTCTGACCCCAGCTGAAAGTTGACAACCTCGGGAGGAAAGTATTTTTAGTCAGGCGTTAGTGTCGGCTGCCAAACGGTGCAAAATATAGCTCCTGGTCTTACTCGCTCTCAACTTCCCTCTCTCCATTTGTGTGTGTGTGTGTGTGTGTGTGTGTGTGTGTGTGTGTGTGTGTGTGTGTGTGTGCGTGTGTGTGTGTGTGTGTGTGTCCCCTGCTGTGTGTCACTAAACTTCTGTCACGTCTCCTCTCCAGCCCTGTGTGTCCGGTTAGAGAGTCTCCCAGCGTCAGGGTTCCTAACAAGCTGGAAATCTGAGCTTTTTCTCCGCGCCTGCTGTAATTAAACAGAGAGGCAGTCGGCAGCGGGATGCTAGCTACTGTAACTCCAAGAGTTCTTAAGGATGGGGCGCCTTGATCTTTCATAGCCAGCCTGTCTGTCTCCAATCCTGGCCAAAACAAAAAGACTAGTGGTCCATGGCAGCAGCCTCATAATGCTAAGCTGTATCACATCCAGCTGTTTTCTGCAGACACACATCAGCTCTCTGCCTCTCACTTGCTTCGGCTCGAAGATCTTGGCACGATAAAAAGGAGCTGCATGTTCAGACCTTTTGTTTCCCGCACAGAGAAAGAAGTTGTTTTGCACGACAGACGAGAATGAGTTATAGAAACTGCAGTCACATGAGATATCTGCAACACTAAGCACGCTATTTACTTCAGAAATCTTCTTCAGGGACTATGATGGAATTTCTTTCTTGGCAAAGCTAGAAAGACTTTTTTTACCAGTCATATATCATATATTATATATTAGTACACGGTGTAGTTCACATTTATGAGTTGTATTCACTCTGATCTTTGGCCAAAGTTGTTGAAACAAAAATGTGGCTAGTGTTTGATGATAAAATGAAAGTAAATATGAAAATGGAGCCTGAAGCTGGTTAATCTAGCTTAGCGTAGATTAGCATAACATGAAGACTTAAACAATTCCACTACATTTTGTTTCCTTCGAACAGAGCCAGGCTAGCTGTTTCCAGTCTTTGTGCTAAGCTAAGCTAACTAGCTGTAGCTTTATAACGAAAAGACAGAAATTAAAGTGGTATCAAACTATTTAGCCAACTCTCAGCAACAAAAACAACAAAGAAATGTAAACGTCTCATAGTTGAGGTAATACTTTAAGAGCGGGCATGTGCTATAGTTGATGACAGCTTGAAGCTTTATTGCAATAGGCTGCATTACACCATTGAATCCATAGAACAAAATAATACATTAGGACCGACACGGCTCAGCGAATGAAGTCAGCGTAGTAAAACCTCCAATAAAAGATGAAACCACTAAACCAACAATAAAAAGAGGCTCCGAAGTCTGGGCTTTTTAAAAAGCAAACCCAAGGCCCACTGCAGCAATGAACTGTTTTCATTACGTTTTAAAATAAGATCAGGACAGGCCTCATGTCTCGAAACTAAAAACTAGCTCTTCCATCATCGAGCATATAAAAAACCCAGTCAAAACATCACTGTATATCCTCTCCTTGTTTCATCTCCTAGCCCCTCAATCCTCTCCTTGTTTCATCTACTATCCCCTCAATCCTCTCCTTGTTTCATCTACTATCCCCTCAATCCTCTCCTTGTTTCATCTACTATCCCCTCAATCCTCTCCTTGTTTCATCTACTATCCCCTCAATCCTCTCCTTGTTTCATCTACTATCCCCTCAATCCTCTCCTTGTTTCATCTCCTAGCCCCTCAATCCTCTCCTTGTTTCATCTACTATCCCCTCAATCCTCTCCTTGTTTCATCTCCTAGCCCCTCAATCCTCTCCTTGTTTCATCTACTATCCCCTCAATCCTCTCCTTGTTTCATCTACTAGCCCCTCAACCCTCTCCTTGTTTCATCTACTAGCCCCTCAACCCTCTCCTTGTTTCATCTACTAGCCCCTCAACCCTCTCCTTGTTTCATCTACTAGCCCCTCAGTCCTCTCCTTGTTTCATCTACTATCCCCTCAATCCTCTCCTTGTTTCATCTACTAGCCCCTCAACCCTCTCCTTGTTTCATCTACTAGCCCCTCAACCCTCTCCTTGTTTCATCTACTAGGCCCTCAATCCTCACCTTGTGAAAAACCCTGAAAACACCTCAGGAAAGATGTATCATCTCTCATCACACATGAATCTGTGAAAACGGCCACCTGTCATTGCTTCAGGCCGAGCAATTATTCACCTATAGGCTATGTTACATCTAACTCTATCATATTTTCATACCCTTGAGATGTGTCCTTCCCTTTTAATCCCAACAACCTCCGCTGCTTATAAGAAACTTTTCAGACTTTACTTTGAGCAGAACAGATTGTGTCTGTCAGCACATATGGTACTTTGTTTTTGCCCTTCAAAAGCACTTTGAGAAAGGTGCTGTGTGGGAAATGTATTATGTATTACTTGTATTAAATCAGTTGACTTTTGGGGGGGGGGGGGGGGGGGGTTTGTAGCTAAGGTTTTGCATTTGGACCAGTGCCATCTTGGTTTTTGGAACCAGAAATAAAGACTTGGCAAATTGACAACAAATAAATAATACTTTCATGAACTAAAAACACACCTCAAAGGTTTGAAGTTAAGAAACATGGGGCTCATCCTGACTGGACCACACTGCAGTAGCTACCTGTCAATCATTACATTGCTCAGACCTACACCTACCATACTTTTTTGTATATTTTACACTTAAAGGGACTACAATGTGCAAAACTAACATCCTACTGTATTGAAGAAGACTTGAAACATGTGATTTAGACCAGAAAATAATCAGAAAAAAGGTTTATCAAGTAAGGTATATGGTTACTTTATTCATAGACTTCTATGCAATCAGACTTCTCTTCCCCTACTACTACTTTAAAGCAGTTTCACATTGGCTTAACTTTTAAAACTCCAAAGTAGCCGATTGTGTCTAAGACAAACAAAGGCTAATAATAGAATCATTTTCTCAGACTTCTACACAATCTGATTTATTTTCCCTACTTGAAAACACAAAGAATTCAAGTTGTGGGCATTGGCTTCACTTTTCAGACCCCAAGGTTATAAGCTAATAAAAGTGTTTCTTTCTACTCTTATCTAAAGCTAACCCTACTTTGACTCCGAACCCTCCATACGCAGGGTGTCACAACACCTTTTACAACTTACGACTGTTTTGAGGTTCTGGCTCGTCTAAAAAAGGCATTCAGTTGACACCTGGGCTCCGGCCTTGCCTCTTTAACCCCGACCCGGCCCACTTCAAGCCCAGATCTGACCCCTGAATCTCCACCTTGCTCCCCTCAGTGACAGAGCTCTGTGTTGTAGGTCTCGCTCTGTAATTACCAGCACCGCTGACATTCCTCCTGCTCTCTAAAGCAGCACTGCACCGTGTTTATCCAACACCCGGCAGACGCAGCAGCAGCAGCGAGGTAATGTGTAACTGTAACCACGAGCAACGCTGAAAACAGTCAGGGGTTTTAAACCGGCCTCGTCCGGTTCAAACTGACTCCTCTAGTGAAGTAACCATGGTGTGTAAGTTATCTGAAGATAGTAGTTACCATAAAAGGAGTTCCTATAGCATCCGACAGTACAAATTAGAGCTGAATGATATGAAGAATATTTTTGACCAAATACCTTGATATTGATATTGAAGGGTTAGCCATTGAACCGTTGGCAAAATGCTTAAACCATGAAAATGTTGATGGATAATAGTAATGAATATATCAGGTCTATGTGGGTTAAGGCAATTAATAGAACAGCTACAAGTATAGTAAATTCAGAAAATGGCATCAATACTCTGTAATGCAGCCTTTACAACCAGGAAGAACCACCACTTTTATTATAATAAATACTCTATATACACTTTTGCTTTTCCCTACCCTATTTATATTTTAATTTTACACTAATTCATTACACCGCACTTTACTGCTTCTATTGCAGTTCTGGTTAGATGCTAACTGTATTTTGTTGTCCCTGTACTTGTGCAATGACAATAAAGTTGAATCTCAACTCATCTAATTATGATATCCAAAATCTAACATGGTATGTAGTCTCAAATCATGATGTTGATAAAAGACATTTTTCCCACACAAATATTAAAAGCACATATAATTGACATTTTGTGTCAGTTTAAGGAAGAAACAACTACTCACCAAGTCTGTAGAAACTTCAGAGTCAGTTTGTCTCTATGCCGGAAGGTACTTCCACGTGCTGACGAAGGCGGTGGGAATGAGGGAGTAGGGCACGCTGGTCACACTGTCCCAAGAGTCTGAAGAGGGGTCGTAACAGTCTAGAGTTTTACACCTCTGAGCCCCAAAGTACCCCCCGACCACATATAGTCTGTTTCCTGACGCCACCGCATGGCAGCTGATCCGTTTGGCCGTGACGTCTCCGAACTTCGTCCACTGGAACGTCTCGCTGTTGAACCGGTAAGCAGAACTGGCGGAGAACTCCGTGTCGCCTCCGATCACCACCACGTGATTTCCCACCACGGCTGCAGCAGTGTAGCGCCACAATTGTGGGCAGGAAGCGGGCACGGTCCATCGGTTCTGGCAGGGGTCGAAGCACTGCACCTTGGGGTATTTGTCCCTGTTTACACTGGTTCCCCCAAAGGCAAAGAGTTTGTTTTTGGCACCCACGACGGCAGCGTTGCTCACCCCTTCTCGGAGCGGAGCCACCAGCGTCCATTTGTTGGTTTGAGGGTCGTACTGCTCCACCTGCTTCAGAGACACAGATGGAGATGCGGGGAAAGATCCTGCGAGAGAAGTGTGTCCTCCGACGACGTACAGCATGTGGTCGAGCTCCGCTGACCCGTGACCGAATCTGGCTACAAGCATCGGGGAGGCTTTGGACCACTCGTCGTGTAACGTGTCGTAGACCCAGACGTCTTTGGAGGCCCCGTTCTCAGAGCCACGTCCTCCAGTAACATAAACCTGAGAGAAAGAGAGAGGAAATAAGTTGTATACTCTTGTGATGCTATATTGAGCAACAAAAGGATGTATTTTAGTCATTAAAACTGGCAAATACTAACTCAAATTTGCAGTTATGTTCATTTTTATTTTATTTTAAGCTCAAACAATATCCCAAATTGGGATCAGTCAAGCACAATTAATCAAATCTTACACTACATTTCTTCATTAAATTGGTCATTTGTCAAACAGGCTATTATTTCATATAGAACCGATATGAAATGACCTATCACAGGAAACATTTCAGACATATTCAGAGCCACATTCTATAAAAAAATGATATTCAAATTGAAGTATTGATCATATATTTACCTTGCATCCAATAGCACAGGCGCTACATTCCTTCCTGGGGCTGGGGATGTCTGTTTTGGGCGTGATCTCCTTCGTCTTGTTGTCGATCATGTAGACTTTATCACACATGAACGTCTGTCCTCCCAGCAGCAGCAGGGCCTGGCTCACCTTCCTCGGCCGGGCGCAGAACCCCGTCACAATGCCATCGTTCTGCAGGATCCTCATTTTGCACCGTACAGCATCTTCCACGATCTCCCGACCCACTTTATGGCACATCACCAGCTCCTCCGAGGCCACGTTCTTCAGCAGATACGTCTCGGGCAGCAAAGCCAAGCGGACGCATCGCAGCAGTTCGGGAAGTTCACTGTGACGGTGCTCCATGTCCGCTTTGACCCAGTCGATTACAGCCTCGTACACCAGGCACTCATCCTCCACCTCCAGCTCCTCGCTCAAGATCAGCTCCTGGACTTTGTCTCTGGGCAGGCTGAGAAAGTCCTCTGTTTTGAAAAGTGTAGCAAAGTTTGCCAGGCACATCCTCCACGACAGCTCGTAAAGTCTCATGCATTGATGCGCGTCCGACAGCAGCATCATCCCAAAACAGTTCGACTGATCCAGGTTCTTCTCCAGAAACTCAGACGCTGCGTCCCGGATGTCGTGAAACTGAAGCATGTCGCCGGCCTCCAGGAGCGACTCGGCGTTTTCCTCGTTGATGAGGATCCGAGCAGAGTAGGCGTAGTCGAGCAGGAGCTCCAGCACCTCTGGGTGGAGGGAGTCGTGGAAGTCGACCTCGGCGTCACGACTTTCTCTGAGCCCGCCGCTGAACATCGCCTCGAAGTATCGGCTGCAGGAGGCGAGGACGGCCCGGTGGCAGGGGAAGGATTTGTTCCCCGCTTTCAGGATAACATCTGTGAAGACTTTTCGTTTGCGCAGCAGGTTGAGCTGAGTCAACAGGCTGTCGGCGTGGGATGTTTTGTGGAAGAGGTGGATATTCATGGAGCCGGAACTAGAGCGAGACTTCCTGTTTTCATGATTACTGACAGACATCTTGACTTGGACCTAGAGGAAGAACAGAGGGTGACAACTTATATAAGAACATGTTTTAAAAAACAGCCGCACCTTTGTATTTGTTTGAACCGACCGTTTATGACAAATGGACAGGAGGAAGAGATCTTATCAGGTCATGAGCCGTCCTTTTGATGTGAACGCCGCTATAAACACTCCTCCCTTTTTATGATTATACACAGCTGATGAATGGCTTGTTCAGGAATAAAAACGCTCATATCAGTAGGCTTAGGTAACAACGGATATAAACTTCAGCCTTCAGACATGAAAGGAGATCAGATAAGGAGCACTCCCACACACAATCTGCATGTGTACACTTCCAAATCAACTAAAAGGCTAACTTCAAAAACCTGCATGTGTCCACTTCTAAATCTGAATTCTCAACTGGCTTTTTAATTCTACTTTCCTTCTGTGGTGTGAAGTGCCAGGCAAAGTAACAACACCTTGGGTGTGTTGCCCTACATCACATCGTTCCACCCCTATAAACATTTCATGGCAGTGAGTCACGTCGTGGCGCAGAGAGTCGATCGCTCCCTGCAGCCTGAGCTGTTCCTCGGCTGGCTCGAATACAAGAAGGTGTCAAAGCGTTCAGGCTCATATACGATGTGACACCTCCAGTCCAGCTCCTTCGGGATGGAATTATGTAACCACAGTGCAACAGATGAAAAAGACCAATCTATCTTTTGATCTCAAGCACAGTGGTTAGACAGGCCTGCAGCCGTTCTTCATTAAGTGGGAGGATGGTGATGCTGAATTTAATATGTATTTAACTTTAAGGCTGAAATTACAGCTAGACGATATAGAGAAAATTACATTTCATAACATTTCTAAACACGTTGATAACTATATTGCGGCAATATTGTGGGGTTGACTTTGAGTTCTTTCACACAATATTTATAAAATGTCATCTTTGATATCAAGTCATCTGTATTATGGATACAATAACTAAAGTAGGTAGAGGCAAACAATAGAATGGTTAAAACATTAATGAAAAACTCAGAAAAAAACCTAACTTTACTGTAATCAAACTTTTGAAACCAAGAAAATACTCTTATGTGATATCACAATATCCAAAATGTAAGATTATATCTAGTCTTATATCACGAACGATACTGATATCATATCAACAAATGTGCCCATTTCCAGCTGAACCTATCAGTTTTTTCCTCATGTTTTTATTGTTAGGTCAGTACAAACCAAATACATTTACTCCACTATGGTATAAACAGCAGAACATCTCGAGATTTGGGAAATGTTTCAGTCAAATTTGCTACTACAATTATTTGTAAATGCTGTTGTTGTACCTGTGACAGTGACAATAAAGGAATTAAGTTCAATGATAGTCAATACAGTTGGCTTTAGGGCTGAAACGAGGGGTAAGTGATATTGAGAAAATCAAATATCATCAATATTGATTTTGATATTGTAAGGTAGACTAATTTTTGACAGAAAAAAGCAGATTATATCCACATTTGATACATTTTTGCATGAAAATCTACTATGGTCATTATGATTGCATCGCTAATTATCTTCATGCTAAATATAAGTTGCATTGGATTTTACACCAATATAACCATGTAACCAGTGTGCACAGTACGGGCTAATAATGACTGTCCACAACTTGAAGCCGACCAAATAAATATCTTCCGCTTTAAAGCCTCCATTGTTTCCCACCAGATACATTTAAGTCGGCTATTCAATCCCACTGAAAGGGAGACTGAGGACTTCCGTGGAGGGACTCAGCGTGAAATCCAATCGTATGTGTGCAGTAAATGTGAGACTGCGGTCCGCATGCTCTCCTCCAGTCAGCCTGCTAACATCAGAGGAGCCGCTTCACCACCGAGACTCACACAGGCTCACATTTCGGAAGTTTGATAAATGTAGAACAAGCAGAGGAGGGAAGTAACCAAGTACATTTACTTAACTGAAGAACAAGTTTAATAGTATTTAAAGGTTATGCTGCCTTGTACTTCTACTCCACCACAATTCAGAGTTAAATGGTGTACTTTTCCTCCACTACATGTATTTGATACCTTTAGTTACTTTACAGATCTGGATGAATGATGTGAAATATAATCAACTCTTAAATCAGACTTTAGTTCCACCTGGAGTAAATTCACAAGCTACCCTGCAGTATACAAAGTCATTCAAACTAGCTGCACCTTTACCAGCTTTGATAACACTTTAATGATCAATCATTATAAAACATATCATATATATTATTCTGAAATGGACCAATCTGCAGAATGATTACTTGTGATACCTTAAGTATATTTTGATGCCAATACTTTTGTATTTTTACTTGAGTAACATCTTGATTGCAGGACTTTTACTCTAACTTAGAGTATTTCTACAATCTGGTGTACTTCTACTTTTATTCAAGTACAATATCTAAGCACTTCCACCTCTGGAAATAAGCAGGAACCGATACTTATTTTTAAATCTCTCTTACCTTGATAGGCGCACTGAGCACAGTTGATCCGGGTATGTTGACTTGTTCCGTTGTTGAGTTGTTTGAAGTTAATTTAGACACATTCCGGGTTTAAAACTGCATAATTTCCTGAAGTGTCGGGGAATGGTTGATCCATGTGTCTGCGGTGCGAGTTTCGAGATTAAATATGCATTAAAAAAGAAGAAAACACTGTTTAAAGTTTAGGTTTTGTTGTCGGGAAGCCACGCAGCCTGCAGGAGAGCAAAGAGCGAACAGAGAGAAAGAGCCGAGCAGCCGTGGTGTCCTCAGAGGCTCCTCCCCCCCTTCCACTGGCCCCGCCCCCTTTCCCCTCACCGTCCAATGGGATATCATTCTGAAGCCCTTTATTCTCTGTCCAACTTCAGGGTCAATGCACTGCATCATTGGAGAATAGCATTGCACTGAACAATGAAGAACACCAGTCTCTGTGTGCTTCACCTGCCTGATGTTTAAAACTTTCACTTAGAGGAAAGTTTGCATCGAGTATTAAACGAAAGGAAAGTTTATTTTTGTAAATTCATTATCAGAATCAGAAATCAGAATCAGAAACAGGTTTATTACCAGTTAGGTTTATATGTAGGCTACGAGGAATTTGACTTGGTGTTGTGGTGCATACATAAAAGTAAAACAAAAATTAAAAACACAGATAGAAAACTATTTTATTTTCTAAAAGTAATGCAAGGTGATAAAAAAGACAGGATTATAAAATAATAAAATACCAGCATATAGTGCAATGAGAGATAGCAATGAATACAACCAGATTTGATTCTGAATATTTGTGTTATCTTGAGAGGAAATTAGGTTTGGTGACACTTGCTCTTTATTAGAATAAAAAAATGATTGACAATATTAAAAAATATATATATATTTCATTATTATTATTATTATTGTTATGAAATATTAAGCAGCAGTTTCAAAAAGTAATATTAACATTCGTACCTAACATTTGTTATCTTTATTTTTATATTGAAATTTGGAGCATTGTTTTTGCCAGAAATCCAGAAAAATGTGTATGAATTATTTTAAAATAACTACTTTTTAAAAATGTATTGTATAGTTGAGTAATGTTGTCTGTAATGAAATGTTATTGCGAGACATGAAGGTCTAAATACCACCTCCATGTGGCCATCAATTACATTTTGAGGGAGAAATACTGAAGCCTTATCCTGTTGGCCTAAAAGTAGTCAAATTGAAACATGCTGAATCTAAAAAGACTGGAATCAGCCAACAAAATATCCACCGTTTACAAGTTTTTGATGAATAAGAGACTTCCCCTGGTTGCTAGAATTAAAGAAAATTAGATTAACATCACGACCACCAACACTATGTTTACCCAGATATTAATACCTAAGACACATTGAGTTAGCACCAGGCACAGCTTGGCATATGTTGCCAGCTCCACATAACCAGCAGTCTTATGATGGCAGGGTAAAGTCCCTCTGAGGACCATGAGATCGTTTCTCCGGCTGAATTCCTCACATTTTCTGAAGGATTTAAGTACTCGTGAGTTATCGGGACGAGAATGGGGCCAGCCGGAGACAGCCTGCACATACAGGTAGAAGTTATGAAACGTGGTCAATATTAAGTATATACTGTAAGTAAAAGGTGGTTTAAAGTATATTAAGCATTTCACATTCCCTTACTTGAACTTTAGATGCTGAAAACTGTTGATTAGTGTTTCCCAAATCCCAATATTGACTGATGAAATTAAGTATATTTATTCATAACTGTATTTTAAAGGGCCCATGTCATGCTTTTCCGGTTATTACCTGTCCCCTTGTGTGTTATGAAGGTTTTTCTGCATGTAAACGGTCTGCAGAGTCAAAAACCCTCAAAGTACACCCTGTAGGGAGTAAAACTCTAACACAGAAAAGATCTGTCTATGCTGCCCCAGAACGCTTGGTTGGAGATTTCTCATTTTCCATTGTTTGCTTCCTGGGTTCTGTGACGTGTGAACACCCAAATCAACAACAAATGACCGGATTGGCCCAAATGGACCAATCCGTGGAGCACATCACACACCAGGATCCCTTGGCTAACTAACAGGGAGTCCCCATTGACTTGCATAGAGCTCCCTGAATGCTGGTAATGGACGAGTTGGGATGGCGGAGAAATGCTCTCCGCAGACCCATTCTCACAGCGTTATAAACCTTTTTCTTACTCAATATCAAGCCACACTTATTGTTTTTACTTCGGCTGTGAGTGTTTGTGTGTGCTCAGGATGAGTTTAGCTTGTTCTCGCTGTATCGCCGACCCGGAAACCTGTCCGCTCGCAACGTCCCGACCAATCAGAGCACACTGGGCTCACAGGGAGGGGGGGGCAGGAGCTCCAACAAGCCGTTTAGGACAGAGAGTGAATACACATACTATACAGAGATGCTGTATGAGAAACCAATGTGAGTTTGGAAAATTGAACAATGTAAATCTATTCTAGTAGACCTCAACAATGGAATTATGATCAGTAGAAATGGCCATGACATGGGACCTTTAAGTACAACTATTGAGGTAGTTGAAAGTGTCAAATTTTTTGCTACATATACTTCCAATGCATTATATTTTAGAGGCAAATATTGTACTTTAATACTCCACTATTTATTTTACCCTCCATCTCCTTTTTACATTTAAATACTCATTTTATGCTCATACGATATGATGCACTGCTGTTATCTACCCAGTATTTACAAAATAAATGTTTGCTATTTTACTATTTAAAAGATAATGGTCTCTACAGTGACAAACTTCAACTTTAACATGGAATCAAATGTAATTAGAACAATTATTATAATATTCTAAAACACCCTAATACTGTGAAAAGGGCCACGTCTTTTGTTTTTGAAACTTAAAGTACATGTTTCTGATAATACTCCTGTACTTCTACTTGTCAATGTATACCTTTTACTTGTATTGAAGTATTTTAAGACCATAGTAATTCTTCTTTTATTTGACTAAAGGCTCAGAGTACTTTTTACTTCACTTGCATTTTCTATTCATTTCTGTAACAGAACAAAACAAGTATCAACTTATACTTAAAATAAATAAATAAGGCTATAAGAATTCCAAGAAATACAGAGCCGATGGGAGAATTAAGCATTGTTTCTGTGCCAGTCTTTGCTGGGACATGTCCCAACATGCCTTCATGTGTAATTAACAACCACTAATAATGGCTTGACTCCATTTAGGTGTGCCAGGTCCAGAGGCATGTTGTTGTGCATGCTGGCTCTTTGCCTTCTTGGGACACTTTAATGGAAAAGAGTATATGTTAAACTGCACCTGTTATTTTCAAGAAAAACATTGTCTCCATACAAAAACACCATATGGAAACTCAGCCCAGTCTGATTGGTTAGCTGGCCGGCTCTGTTGTGATTGGTCAACCGCCTAGAAATGTCCCGCCCCTTAGCCTATCACGTACAATGTGTTGGAGCGTTAGCCAATAGAAGCACTAGTGTTCCATAGAGGTGTAACTATGTTCAGGAAGTAAACAAAGGAGTCCAATGGAGGCGTTTCAGGGCAGGGGGGATAAGGGATTTTAGCCTTTGCAGACCATTTACATGCACTAAAACCTATACTGTATAACACACTACAAGAAAGAGAAACCCATAAAAGCATAATAGGGCCCCTTTAAGTAAAAGTAAAACCACAGTCTACCACATTTTTTTTTCGTGATACCAAGTTTTAACTCGCTGTCACCGCCGGATGAAATTTTTTTTTGAGCCATGACCATTGTCCTGTTATCTCAGCTAAACAACATTTGTTATTTCAAGTTCATGCCATAAATAACTTGTGATCTCCAGAAACTAGTTGTCATAGGATACCTAAAGAAAAAAATATGAGGGTGTAAACACATGTCCTTATATGGCTTCTGTTGAGTCTCTTGTTCCTCCCTAGGGATTCAAACTTGACTCCTACTTATATCTCAAGCCACTCACATCTTTTTTTACACTTGAAAGCCTTGGAGTAATCACCTGCAGCGTTGTGTAACCTCAAAGTTTGACACCATAAACACACTCATGGTGCTTCACATTCTCATTGTTGCCGCCGCTCGTTGAAGCCTCCCTTGTTGCAGACTGGGTTCAAAATGCTTTCATACACACAAGTGTGCCTTAAGGAGATTAAGAATTTAAGCAGATTAGAATAATGAACTCATGATTGTAATCTAGGGTTAATTCATTTTGCTGCACTTTAACACAACCCCCCATACAGTTCATGGCTTTGAGCCCAAAGGATTAATGTATGTGTGTTTTTGCATGGGCTTGGGTGTGTAACCGGTCATTAATTACTGCGAGGCAGGCACGCCACTAATCAGACCCCCCGTAATTATTCCTCAATGCCCCCAGCGTTGCATCAAGCCAGTCACACAGTGTCGGTTGACAGTGACAGTAACCGTCGCTCCATTGTTTGCCTGCAGACTCACTGTACCACAGATTTGTTCACTCGAGGCAGGTGGTCCTCTCAGTGAGGTCATCCCGTCTGAAACATAAGGAGAAGGGTTCATCCTCGGGCCCCCGACTCAACGCCAAACAATGCAGAGCTTCTTATGACCTTCTATTTACGTCTTACAGCCTCCTGCTTTCCACATAGTTTGGGGTAATGCTTCATCTATTTGCTGACACAAGTTGTCACAGTAACTACATTGGTATGATGAATGAATCTCTGCAATTATGCAATGGATAAAGGGGAATCAAAAGGTTGACATTATACAGTTTGGTTGCATGTTATTCATGTTTGCATTTATTTTCCAATAAAGCCTGCTGTGGAAGATAAGTAGGCTATGAGATAAATGGTTGTTGTGATGTTTCACAAGTAAATACAAATCCACCCACAAGACAACAGCCAAGACAAATAATTTAACACATTTTGCGTTTATTCATCACTGCACAGCATAAACATATACATTCAAGTTCACTAATTTATTTATTTTTATTTTTGATAACATGGTTGAAGAGAGCCTGGGGTCTTTGCAGAGAATTCATTGCAGATTGCTTCTCTGTAATTGTTGTGCACATGACAACAAATAACTTTCTTTTGGCATTACATATTGGTTTGTTAATAATTACAATACAATTGTTTTTCGTAAGAGTCAAGGCAGACAGTCCTAAAATGGCCCCTAATTTGCTATACTTCACATTTTTGATTTACAATGCAGTGACATAATATAACGTTGCAATCAGTGATGAACTATCAGATAACTAACAGATGCTTGATTTCGTATTACATCTCATAAT